ATATTTAAATCTTATTTAAACATCTCCGATTCTCTCTTTTTGTTTAATTCGTAAATAAAACAAAAATGCGGTTAAATATATCTTATATATGTAGCACATATTCCCTAATTTGAATTCGAACACTTTGAACTCACTTGTCACACTGTTCTATGGTTTAGTCTGATATGAGCTAGTAGGGGGACCTAATGGACCTATAGATCATGGGCTCCAACAATCCGAGATTAATCGGCTAAACTCATTAACCTTGTTAACCAACATTCGTTAACTACGAGAACACTCCACTATAGCCTAGTAGTTGCTCTCCCCTCACTATAGATATATTTCTGTCCATTTGATATAATCATGATTAGTAAGTCGATCCTTCACAGGTTGTTCGTAACTAGAGCTGGATCAATTTACCGTTTTACCCCTGAAATTACTTCTTGTTTCTTATGTCCTACTAATCCTCTAATGAACCATTGGTTTGTGGTCAAACCAGTAAACCAAATCTCTCTCAGGGTGTGAATTCCATCTTGCACTAAAAGTACTTAAAGGAACTACCTCTCTTCTATCACTAAAAGTGGGTAGGAGTGAACTCCATCTTGCACCCCACGTCCCCAGCCATTTACCCAGTCTTACCCCTAAAATGGGAGGCCTATTGAGTCGGCGAACTCTAGCCACTCTCACCCATGCAAATCTAAGAATAATTCCAAATAAACAGGAGTTCATGGTTAGCTCAGGATTAAAATCGAGTTACCTAGGCCATTGAATGAAAAGAAAATCAGTTTCAGCAGTAAGCGACATTATAAAGTGAGAGTGATTTTCTTCATGGTCTGATCTTATGCAATACTCATTGCATAGGACACCCCCACTCACATGTCTTCGCATGTATAATTTAGTGATCACATTGTTTATGTCATATACAAAAGTGGGCCGCATCCATAGTGTCCTCAGGATAAGGTACTTAGCCTATCCCTATACTATAGATCATTTTGACTATATACTTGAACTTGATCCACTCTTATGTCTCTACATATAGTTCGAGTAATCATACTATAGTCAAAGTGTTCTTAGTTTATTGGATTTAGATTAATAATCGTAAAATTCACTTTATTCAATAACAATCTTTACTGAATAAACATCCATAATAACTTTATTGAAAATAGAATATGTTTTTGTTTACAAACTATGAGTTTTAGGACATAAAACTCACCCGTTTCCACAGCTAAAATCTAAATTTGGGCTTCTTTAGGATCTCTTGAGGTACTAGTGAATGGTCAAGGGTCGTATCTCTTGAAATCCTTTATCCAACTTGACCCTCTAGCAGGTTCTAGTGGATTAACTGGGGCATTGGCCTATGCTAGGGCCTGTTGGCCAGCTAGTAGGTTAGCTTGCTGAGTGGCTATCAGGGTGTGAATTAGGGCTTAGATAGACTCACACATTAGCCTAGTGCTAGCATTTACTCTCGTCGCTGGGGTACAACCTCAGATGCGGCTTGTGGTGGCGGAGCAGGTTGGGGTGAGGACTCAGCTTGTGGTGGTTGTGGTGCATCTATTGGCGGCGCTAGAGGTGGTAGCGCAACTCGTGGTAAAACTGGGGGCAACCTAACTGTTACTGACCCAGTCTCTGATCCTTCTCGAGGTGGGCTCTCTTCTGCCACACCTCATCCTCTTCCTCTAAGAGGGGGTCGTCCCCTTTCTCATCTTTCTCTTCCTCTCTCGCGATCTTTAGGTGGCATGGTTCTAGAAACCAAGATAAGGTTGCTTAAGTCTAAGGCCTTATTAGTATACACATATAATAATAAAAATATACACATGCTAACATTACATCATAGTGCGAAAGAAATAAAACACTCAATATGCTATACATCATATCATACTTGTTAAGTAACACATGAAATTTAACAATAGTTTCAGTAATATTAACAAGAAAATGCATGTGAGTTTGAAAAAATTAAAACCTTCAGAACAAATGAAATTTCTACATATCTAGAGTCGCTACGTATGCTCATCTCTTAATGCGGAAAATAACTCTTAAATGTTCATCTAAAATAGTGAAAAAATTAAAACCTTGAGAACACATGAAACTGCTAGAAAACACTACCGAACTTACGTATTTCAAAATATAATGCTGAAGTTTAATATTAAAAATAAAAAAAATTACAAATAAAATAATTTAAATAGTGAAATGCAAACATCATATTCTAACCTAAGACTAGGAATTCAAATATGCAACTACCATATGCATGCAACACAATCTTTGAATTACGATGTCGCCGTCAACCATACATGAGCATCTTGCATTTACCTAAAAGATAATATGGCACATGGCCTGAGTATTTCGAAGAATACTCAGTAAGTGGCCCCCATGCAAATGCAAACACATGCAATCATGATTTAGGAACCTGTCTCTAGCTCATCTAGGGGTGACCTCTAGTCTCAGGCAAATTGGATATGTAGTACTTCCTTACACATGACCCACACTTGCGAGTGTGAATCCCCAGGTCGCTCACACACCCCCTGGACCCTCTGGTCAAGCTAATATGTAGCGACGTCCAAAAATCAACAGAACCCCTGATGTCATGCGCCTCATGAACACCCTTATAATCATACGGTGCGCATTCGCACTCAGCATCATATTGTGTGCGTCTGCATTCATCATCTCTACGGGGAAGTAACCCTATGCTTATGAACATGCAATATGCATGAGGTCCCTCTAAATCCCATCATAATATCTCTTCTCTTTGTTACTCTAGATAACATATGCTTGTGGATATTTAGATTAATAGTATTTTCATGCTCTTAGGGTTGTGTACTAGGCCATCTAACGAAATGATGCAATATAACAATCATGATCATATAGCATGCTCAATATGGAGTCATCATGCACCATCATACTCATCAATAAGCCATCAAGTGCATCAAACATAATATGTATGTCATGCATCCAAACATAAATCACATACATATAACATCACAGCTCAAGCATCATACTCATATATCATCATAAACATCGTACATCATCATACTCATACATCATCATGCTCATAAATAAAACTGTAATACAAATAATTCTAGCTTAAACATGAATGTTTGATTAATCCACCACACCTAAATGGTGTGAAAGTTATCTTATTTATAATCAAATAAATTACAAGGATATGGAAATAGTACTAAATGGAAATAACAATAAATGGAAATATACCTATGATAATAAGGCAAATATAATACATATGGTAAACTATAATTTATTACTAAATATCCTTAACACCCCACCGCAAGCTAAGCGTCGGATTTAAACGAACGTGAAGCTTGAATCTGAAAAATTCAAAGAGGTTGAGAAACACTTTTCATGAAGATGCTAACAACCTGGTTCTTGGCCATCAAAAATTGCAGAGGGATCGCCACTCAGCGGCGATGCTGCCTTGGCTTCGGCGAGAATATGTCTAACCCATGAAGAGGGATTGTCGCTTAGCGACGATGCTGCCTTGGCTCTGGTGAGAATATTTCTAACCCCAAGAAGTAGAAGGGGAAACCTAGAGCAAGGGACAAAGACGATGTTGAAGCCGGAAGAGTCGCCACATTGGGCGAAGGAGCCAATTTTGGCGAGAAGGACAGTCGGAAGAGTCGCCTCATCAGGCGAAGAAGCCAATTTTGGCAGGAAGGGCGGCGGCAACTTGGTTGGCGAATAGGCCAGTGCGGCACCCAGATTCCGAAGGTAAATCTCTGCAAAAGGTTGATAGGTTTAGGTTAGAGTTTATGTGAAGAATGAAGGTTGATTGGGAAGAAAATGAGAGAGACTATATTGGCCAAGGGGAAAACCGATTGGGTTGGAAAAGGTGAGGTTGGATGTACAGAGTATGACGAAAGGTGATTTGGAGGTCAATAGGGTGGAGCCGAAGAATAATCAATCGGCTCCGACTACGGCAGCCATAAAGACTGCCCCTGCGGCGTCAAAACCAGTAGGGGTGGTGGAGAAGAAGATTAGAGGATTCAAAAGCCATTGAAAAGAAAGGATCACGGTTGTTAAACCGAAAGGGCTCTGATACCATGTGAATGTTTGATTAATCCACCACACCTAAATGGTGTGAAAGTTATCTTATTTATAATCAAATAAATTACAAGGATATGGAAATAGTAATAAATGGAAATAACAATAAATGGAAATATACCTATGATAATAAGGCAAATATAATACATATGATAAACTATAATTTATTACTAAATATCATTAACAATAAACATCGTACATCATCATACTCATACATCATCATGCTCATAAATAAAACTGTAATACAAATAATTCTAGCTTAAACATGAAATACGGGTCTAAAAAAGCCTCAATTACCTTAATCGGGGCCAAAATTGGTCCGAGAGGGTTGAGAAGGTGGAAACCAGGGCAAAAGCTGGTGAGCTGAGCCGAAACAGCTGTCGAGCCGCTGAAGGTCGCTGTGAGCTGTTTACGTTGAGCCCAGTCGAAGGGCTTCTCGCGCTACTGGACGATACGTGGCAACATTAGAGTGAGCCACGTCGCTCAGGTGCTACAAGTCGAGGCGAGGGCTCCAGTCCGATTCGGGTCGCGGTTCGAGTCGTTGACTGTAGAAGGCTACTAGGCCGGACTGGTCTTTGGGCTTCAACTTACTAGACTGGGCCGCAGGTACTTGGGATGCAGGCTGGTTCGGTTGGGCCGTGGGTTTGGTTTCGACCTGGTATAGTTGAGCCGTGGGCTATTGGGCTGGTTTGATTTGGGCCGCTGTAGGACTTGGGCCTCTGGTCTGCAGACGGGTTTTTGTCTCGAGTTTGCAGATGGGTGCGGGTCGCCGACTTGGTTTTGGGCTGAGGGATCTTGTGGGCTGAGGGTTCGCAGACATGGGTCGTTGCGCATTGAGCTGGACTGCTGGGCTTCTGGGTTCTCGAGTTTTCCAGTTCGAGTTGACCCAGATCCGAAGGATCCGTCTTCTTCACCTAGTTTGGCTGCAAAATTCTAACGCATTTTCTCTCTCCTCCGTTCGTTGTTTTCGATATCTCTTTTCGTCCTTTTTCTTCCTCTTCCCTTCTGTTTGCCTCTCCTCCTCTTTCCACAAAATTTCGTGGTCGTTGGACGTATGTGAAGGTAGATCTCGCTTTCTAAAAAATCTTGCTTTTGGATTCCTTTTTCCGACGATAGCGACGATGATTTGTGGCGTGTAATTTCTCGGTGTGGGTGTTTATTAGGCCAGAGCGGTATTTTCAGTTTGTTTTGCTCGGTGTAATGATCGGACACAGCGTATCGAGTTCGTAGGTATCTCATCGGATGCTCGCCGGAAAGTTGGGGGAAGGGGGGGCCTAAATCGTGAGCGGCCCAACCCGAGTGGCCAACCCGTGGGTGGGCCAAAGGGCACGGCCCGACCCAACCGGGGCGGTCTGGCTCAATTAGGTCGATTTTTGCACCTTTTTGCATAATTTTCTTGTTTTAACTCCAATTTTGGCACCGTTTTCACAGGTTTTCATCATTTCTCTCCATGTAGGACGTGAACTCAAATAAAAAGTGTTGCAATTCGGAAGTAAGTGGGACCTTGGAACCTTAGAATTAGCTATACTCATAGTTGCATGAAAGTATGATATGAGAAGTATGTCTAGAAATTTGAGCATGAAATGAGTTGATGTGATGTATCTAAGAGCACGTTGAACGTTATGATGCGTGTTTATCGAAGAATAAATTGTTGACATATGATATGACTAAAATTGAGAGCATGTCTTTAGTATGATATAAGGCATATTATGGGAAGCCGATTTTGTAGGTTTGAGCATGGAACGACTTAAGATGACACATGTTGAATGTGATTATATAAGTGTACTGAAACGCATATGCACTGTTCTACGATTGAAATTTATGACTAGATTTCCATGTTTAGATCATTATGTTATGTCTCTATTAACAAGATCAATAAGATTTAATAACAAAATATGTGCTGCTTGTTAAGTATAATTTATATATTCATCCTTTTTACTTCAACTTTCTTTTTAGGTGGAGCTTAACGTAGCGATCTAGGCAGAGGCACACGTGGGCTGTTGACTATAGAGAGTCTCATCACACTTGAGTCTGGAGTTCCTTTGTACTTACCTTTAAATCTTATATTTAATGTATTTTAAATAGTTTCATTATTATTTTAATCAAATTTCAAAGTGCATGCACTTGCTTAAATGTTTTAAATTTTACGCATTTTTTCTTATTTCCACATCACTAAATAACGGTTCATGGCTCGAGTCTCTCGAAAAGCGGGTCGTTACATATCATGAGATGAAATGCTCTACTTCTCATGTAAGAAGAGTAGATGAGTTATTCTCTTAAATACGGATTTCTGGACTTGAACAATAGGATCCCACCTCTCATTGGACCGAAAGGATCTTAGTTTATGATTGAATCATAAAAAAATTGTTTGATCCTTCTTGGGGGTCCAACGTCCATTGCCCAATGTCTGGCTCTGACATCATTTATAACAACCCAAGCCCAATATTAATAGATATTGTCTGCTTTGACGCGTTACGTATCGTTGTCAACCTTACAGTTTTAAAACGCACTTATTACGGAGAGGTTTCCACTCCCTTATAAGGAATGCTTCGTGACCTCACTATTTGCTAGCTTACAAAATTTGTTTTATCAAATAGCTTTCAAAACGTTTTCCAAAACTTTCTCTAACCCTATTTTCTAACATCGTTTTCCAATAATAGGGCAGAGGCTAAACTATGCGTCATTTGTGTCACTGGTGACCTAAGTAATATCTTTTTCTTTTTCTTTGGCAATGTGTGCTAAAGCAGTGCTTTGTGCTATCAAGGCTTTAGACACGATCAATGATGAATTTCTTGTTCAAGTTTTTTATTTTATTTAATTTTAATTTTATAATATTCAAAAAATTAATTAATTATGGATGTATAATATAAGGTTTTGAAGAGGCTACTAATTTAATGTGATGATCCATCCATGACTAGGCTAGCTTGTTCATATCATTTATTCTATTAATATTTAATTAATCAATCAAATATTAAGTTTATAATAAACTATTATTATTATTATCAATTTTATCATTCTTGTCAACTTAATAAAGTTGGCTTTTTGGAGTTGAAAATAAAAAATTAAAAAAAAATCATATAAAATTGAAATAATGGATATGGCCTTTGATTTTTTTTTTTAATTTAAATAAAGGAATTATAGTATTGGGGTTTTGAAATATAAAAAATGTAGACATTTTCAACCAATTATTTTTTAAAAAAATTGGGAAAATAGAGCATAAAATAAAATATATTTAAAATAATTAATAATTAATTAACATTATTGTGGATTCCCATGAGTAAGGTTTTGTGCGCTCCATGTTCATAATTTAAATTATGATTCGGAATTCGTGTTCGATACTTGATAGTCTCGACATTCTCTTGCAACATGGTCACTTTACTTACATTTTGCTTCTAAGAGTAAAAACTATTCCACTGACTAGCACGTTTAAACTATGTAGTTTTTACTTTTTTTTTTCCTTTTCTTTTTAATGTAGGGCCTATTGGAGGAGGAGTTTGGCCAATTTTGGAATTTCCCAAGGACCCAAACTCGAACAAAAAAGTGTCACGCTCCCTTAAGTAGGTGTCACCTTGAAACCTTGAATTTAGCTATGTTCATGAAAGTATGATATAAGAAACATGTCATAGAAATTTGAGAATGAAATGAGATGTAGGAGCACATTCAACATTATAATGCATGTTTATTGAGAAATGAACTCTTGAGCTATGATTTGATCTAAATTTAGAGTATGTCTTTAGTATGATATAAACATGTTATAGGAAACTTATTGGTTTCCTGTAGGATGTTTATTAAGATCACTTACTTTTTTTATAGCATGTTTATAAAAATTTATGATATAACAGTGAGGTCCCGAAGCACCCCTTATAAGGGTGTGAAAACCTCTCCATAATAAGTGCGTTTTAAAACTGTAAGGTTGACAACGATATGTAACACTTCAAAGAAGACAATGGACGTTGGACCCAAATTTGATTGAAGAGAGAATTTGAACATTTTGTTGGAATTTTTTTTACTGCGGATGGTGGGGTGGAGGAGAAGATGAATTAATAGTGGAGGGTGAGGAAGAAAAAAGGAAAAAGAATGGGCAATGTCTTTGGTTCCTTTTAAAATTCACTGGCTGGCTAACAATGAGAGTTGAGAGGCCTCCATTTCAATCATAGAAAACAAGAATTTCTCCATGTGAATATAATATTTTATAAAGAAAAAAAAAAAAAGGAAATTTTATTTTTTTAAAAAAATAAATGATTATTAAATGAAGAACCCATAGATTTTGATGATATTCTTTGGTTTTTAAGTGGCTGCCCAAACTTAAGATAAGATCAAAGTTAGTAATTGATTTTTAAGTAATCAACATGTTACCTCATGATAAGATTTAGGATAGCTCTTGGTTTTTAAGTAATTAGGGGGCGACTCTAACTCAAGATGAGTTCAAAGTTAGCCCTTCATTTTAAGTAATTAGGATGTTACCTCAAGATAAGGTTTATGATAGTCATTCCTTTTCAAGTAACCAAGAGGCTACCTTAACACAAGATGTACTCAAAGTTAGCATTTAATTTTTAAGTTATCACTATGTTACCTCATAATAAGCTTGAGGATAGCTCTTGGTTTTTGAGTAATAAGGTCGCTAGCTTAACTCAAGATGAGTTTTAAGTTAGCACTTGATTTTTAAGTAATTTGGATGCAACCTCAACATAATCTTTAAATAGATTTTGATTTTTAAGTAATCAGTATGCTAAGCTTTCCTATGGCCATGATTCAAGTAAGCTTTAGGTAGCTTTTGATTTTTAAGTAATTAGCATGCTACCTTAAGCCTTTGAATCAAGACAAATAAGTTTATCGTACACATGCTTTAAAGTAGCACTACACATGCCAAAAGCCCACTAAGATATAATGACGGTTAAGTACCACTCAAGAAATAAGGATGATAACTATTGTCACGGACAAGAATTATGCACCTCGGCCAAGGATTAACTTAAAAAAAAAAAAAAATTAGAAGAAGGATCAAGATCCAAGTTTTTATAACTAAAAACCCATAACCTCATAACAAGGTTCTTAGATCAAAACTAAGATTAAGAATTTAGAATCCAGGACCAAAGTCCTTGGCCTAGATCTTAAGAACTCCGAACTCAAGAACAAAATCTAAGAGCTTAAGTTCTCGATCAAGAACAAGAACATTATCAAAAAGAGTATGGTACTCTACCACTTCTTAAAGATACGATTAAGAGTCTATGGTAGGCTATATACTAAATTTTTGTACTCATTTAAGTTCTCTCATATTTTTCAAGTATATAAGGAGCTGGTCAAGGATTGTAACACCCGAGTCCAAACGAGGTATTAAATACCTGATTTTCCTTTTAAATTTTAACTTTGAATATTTTATTAAGAGGTTTACCGACCAAATTTCAAGATAATATAGAGTTGAAAAATACTTTGAAAAATCTCAATAACTCAAGAAAAATATAAAAGAAAATAGTAAAAAATTAGAAAAATTGCTTAAAGTCAATCCAAGGAGTAAATTAGTCATTTTTACCCGAGAGGTATGTAACAACCTTAAAGAGTTTAATGTGGAGGAGAAAGAAAGACGAAAATAAAAAAAGGGAAGTGAGAGAAAATAAAGAAGAGAGTTTAGGATTTTGGAAGAGAGTTAGAGAGTTGAAATCCACTCAAAACAACCGTTTGAAAACTTCATCGAATCTCCTTCACAAGAGTTGCTCAATAAGTTGAGGACTTCCATTCTCAACTTTTGAAATTCTTTAGTTTCGGTTTTCTCTTAGAAACACTAGTTTTTATTAGCTTTAAAATTTTTAATAGGTTGTTTTTGGGAGAATTTCCCACCCGAAATCTCGAGTTGAATTGGATTAGAAAAAATGAAGTTTTGATGATCCTCAGAAACTATCAGATCAGATGTGTTATTTTTTTGTTTTGGATCATTTTAGGATGCGTTTATCTTAAACTTTGTTTGTTTATAAATTAAAAGATACTTTACTAAAGATGATTAAAACTCTACTTGTGAGTTGATTAGTTTTAAATAAGAAGTCATGAAAAAAAAAAAAAGAAGAATCAGAAAATTGTGATGAATGAGGTTGAATTTGGTCATAGGTGATACGTGGCAAGCAAGGAGAGTTGCTACATGGCCGACTAAGAAGATAACACATGTAAAAAAAGTAGTGGGATGCGTGTCAGGCACTAATTAAAGGATTCGACTACAACGCCAAAGAAACCTGTGAACCACGACCTGCCCCGAGTATGCCACATGTCACAATGGCAAAAGTTAGGTGAAAACACGCTCGTGAGAATCAAACCCTAGATACGAGAGCCAAATGTATGAATCAAATGTTGTCACATGTAAAGTCGAGGACATGCGTCTCCCTCCCTAAGCATGTGGCTTACTCGTGGCGAACCTCCTTATGCACATGTGGGCATGTGATAGAGCTGAGGGCCCTCTTTTTATCACGTCCGACCTCCATTTGTCAAATTTTCACCTAATTTTAATATTAACCTTAACTTTACTTGAATTCGAACCTACTATGGAAATTTCAACAATTTTAGAGCCCCTAACATGAGGAAAGAAAGAAAGAAAGAAAAAAAAAATAAAAATAAAAATAATGAAGAAGGCACACATCATCCAATTAAGTAACTTTAGGTAAGTAATACTTTTAAAGATCGCTACACATACTAGCATGCGAGATTCCTTACCTTAGGTAGTTTAAAAATGGATGTTTAGGACTTCCGAAGGACATTTTTTTGATGAGTATGTTATAGATATTACCATTATGCCCTGTGTTAGATTTTTTAGGCTATTTACAGTTTTATGCAAAGCTAGGGAGTGAATATGCATGATGGACATACGAGTTGAACAATATGGATGAGATGTAAGAAAGGAGGATGAGTTATTGTGACCTGCGCTCCACACGATTGATGGATGTCATCTCCCCATTGAGGTTGTTTGCTTGTTTGTTTGCATGAATGTTAAGGTTTATATTTTTAGTGCTCTAGGTGATTGATAGGATATCTTCTTAAGAAGCTTGTATGAATATTTAGAATATGTATACCATGGTCTAAGTGATCGATAAAATAATCTTCCTAGCAAGACATGCATAG